AGGAAATTATTATCCTATGAAGTTTTGTTCTTATTTGTATGAAAGAGAATTGCTGGAGGCACCTTTTGACTGTATGTCAACTTACTTTTAGTCTTCTGTTATAATTTCATTTGTGATACTTTAGTTATTAAATTTTTTATGTAGTTTAAAACGTTTTGCTCTTGTACTTTTGGAAGATAATATGGTATAAAAATTGTTCGGAACTACTTGCAAATGTTAATTATGTATATTTGAGAGTTCATATCTTACTAATGGGTAGAAAGCATATCAAATTGATAGATGACCTCACTTGTAGGTGGTCGCTCTTGTTACTTGTTACTAGCTTGCTATGATAACTGTGGGGAAATGTCAGCATTACTGGTCATAGTTTTCTTAGATTCAATACTGTGGATGCATTAACTACTGCACAAAGTTTTTGTAGAATCAAATGAGGTCTTATAAATGAAAGATCTTTGATGACAGATTTTGTTATAGGTTTGGAAAATATTTTTAAAAATACTTACCTTAATTCAATATCATTTTTGCCACAGAGTAGAAAATCAATATATAGTTGACCGAGTAATTCTGTGTATATTACATACTTTTTGAGTGAATGATATTCTAACACATAGTTGAAGTTTAATTATTGCTTAACATTGCATGGTTGATTGCTATATGTAAACATATTCTTTTAAAAAAATTAAAAAATATCATTGAGCAAATAGGCTGTTCTTTCCTCTTTTTTTCCCCATGATAATTTTTGGGTAGTATTGATGTTTATTTTGTTTGGAGTTGGAGCTTGATGATCAAAACAAAAATTGTCAAAAAAAATGTCAAATAAGAATAGTTTTAACGTGTTCTAGTCCTTGCAATTAATGGAATGGGTATATGCTTAAATGCAGTAGGCTTAAAAGAAAAATTCAAAATTTGTCATTTATAACTCACTGGATAGAACACATCTATAAAAATTAGGATTGTAGGAGAGAGGTGAAGTTTTGTTCTCTAGGAAATGGATGGCAAGGTTCCAGCTAATCTTTTTTATTTTTTATTTTATTAAGAGCTCTATAGTTACACATAGTAGTTGGGTTCATTCTGACACTCATCTTGCAGGAAACATACTTTAAAGGATAGGAAAGAATATTATAATTTGAATTATTTACATAGATGTAAATAGTAAATTCATATTAAATTCCAGGATGTTTAAATTCGGTTTTGTTTTTAATGTAGCATAAAACCATTGTCTTTGTTGATTTACAGTATTTGTTTGCTTAAGCTGTGGTTTGCTTCTTTTCTTTCTTTATTTCTTTTTTGGTACTGGGGATTAAACCCAGGGATGCTTAACCACTGAGCCACATCCCCAGCTCTTTTTATTTTTTATTTTGAGACATGGTCTCAGTAAGTTGGTTAGGGCCTCACTAAGTTGCTGAGGCTGGCCTCAAACTTGTGATCTTGTCTCAGCCTCCTGAGTCTCTGGAAATATAGGTGTGCAACACTACGCCTAGGTAGCCTCTTTTTTAATTAGTTATCTAAAGCTGCATTTTTGTTCATTCATTCACTCATTCATTTATTCCATATTTGTTGAAAATCTAAGTCCCTGGCACTATCAAATTGCTTTACTAATTTATATTGTAATTAAGTGAAATAAAAAATGTGAAATATTTTGTACATTATAAAATGGCATTCAATTATAATAATTATTGTTAAATTCTTCAAATAGTCTTGAATGAAGATACCTTTGTTGTAACTGCTCTGTATTAATTCTGTATTGAATCTGCCATGAATTTTGTGTGAAACATTTTATAAGAATAGGAAAAAATTAGATTGTCCACAGTGAAATGTTTAATGCAATAGGCTTAAAAGAAAAATAAGCCAAAATTTTGTCTTGACTCACTGGATAGAACACATTTCTATAGAAATTAGGAGTGTAGGAAGGAGGTTTGCTGTACTCTAGGGAACAGGTGGCAAAAGTTCCAGTTCATCTTATAGACTAGTGTTTTTAGTAACATGAAAGATGACTTGGGGTAAGACCATAGTTTGTTGCTTATTTTTGACCTATGACATCTTTTAAGTTCTTTGAAGAAGGTATTATTTTAGCCAATAAATAACCAGAAGCAGTTTTAAAAGCTGAATATTACAATTATTGACCGGAAGATTGTGTATTTAATGTATGTTTTTAGCAGCTTAAATTTTATACAAACACTGATTAAAAAAAAACTTATCTAAAAAATTAGTTTTTAGAAACTACTTCATTGAAAAACAAAATTTCTGGATTTAGATTGATCTGGGTATTTAATTTTATTGTTTTGTACTGAAGAGGCAGTGCCAGTGGAAAAAGCATACATATATGCCTGGTTGTCTACTCTTGGTTCTCCCATATAGTGGCTGTGTGAGCTTGGGCAAGTCATGTTATATGTCTGACTTCTTTTTCTTCAACTCTAAAATACAAATCCTTCCAGCTTTAAGATTTCGCTAATAAAATGTCCACTTATTTTCAATTTTGAAAATACTTCTTGGTGTTCTTCATAAGGATATCATAATGCAGATTATTTTAATAGGAAGTATATGTTTATTAGATATTTATTTTTTGTTATTACTAATTATTTCCCTGAGCTTTTGTCCACTTTCACTGTCAAGAATAATAAGATGTAAAATTCTCTTGAACTCAGATTATGTAATTTTATAGTCACAAAGAATGGCTGCTTTAACACCCTAAAGAACCCAGCTACATAACACAGAGCTAGGTAACTGAAAGGGTTAACTCATTATACTACATAAATAATAAGCTAACATTGGGAAACACTCAGGCAAAATGATGTCTTCAAAAGATCTGTGTGTTAGCTCTTCTCTTTGACAGTACTTGTAGCAAGGGGTCCCACATCTAGTAAAGCCATCTTTTTGTGTGTTTATGTGGTGCTGGGTTTGAACCCAGGGCCTTGTGCATGCGAGGCAAACACTCTACCGAGTTATATCCCCAGGCCCTGGGTTAAATTAAAATGATGATTAGATTCTTTCCTGCAGGCTTTTTTGGGGGTGGGAGGTGCCATTTTTAGTGGTGAAATGGGTCTGATCTTGAATTAGGTGAAAATTTTGTATGGTGGTATTAGTTTAGGCTTTGCTGGAATAAAGAAGTTATACATATTAGAACATTTAATACATTGCTAGTGATGTTTTGAGAAGGATGTGGTTTGTAGAATTTTCCTAAACTTATTTGACCAACTTCTTTTTTATTTTCCAGAATTTCTCTAATTTAGTATTCTGTTAAACATATTTTGGGAAAACAAGCCTAGATTTTAATACCCTTTTTGACTCTACAAGAGCAGATACCTATGATGATTTTGAGTAGTCCTGGTCCAATCTATGGGTATTGCCTTCAGTACCATGGCACAAGAGGTTGTTTTCTTTTAAGCTGCAGAGCCTTTGTCAGGCTAGTCAGGCAGTTCAGAGGATGTTTAGTCTTGACTCTTGATTGCTAAATGATTAGGCTCTGTCTGCACTTAATTTGCATTGGAGAAAAACCTGTAATCTAGTTCAATACTATTTAGGGAGTCTGATCTTAAACTTAACTGCTGTGTTTTATTAATCAAAACCCAAGTTGAGTGGGCTGGGATTGTAGCTTCGTGGTAGAGCCCTTGCCTAGCATGTGTGGGGCACTTGGTTCTATTCTCAGCACCACATACAAATAAACAAAATAAAGGTCAATCAACAACAACAACAACAAAACAAGTTGACAGATAGTATGGTTATATAGTCTGTACATCCATTTTTCTGGTTATCTAAAATTTATACTTTTGTTCCTGGACTACTATAACATCAGTGTGCTGGAACCACTTCTTTGGAAATGTGGAAATGCTGTAATGCAGTTTTGTCCTTTAACTCCTTTTTAGGTTGAGAGGGATAATAAGAAATAGTCCTATAAACTCACCACTATGTATAAGGATGTTTTTAAGGACTTTTAATTATTGCACTTTATGATATCTTAAGAAGGCCCATGGAATGAATTTCTGATTTTTGTCCTAGGAGGCATTGAATTCTTTCTGGGCAACTTTTTCCATTTTTATTATAAATATTTAAACCTGTTGTGTTTCCTGAAATTTGTGGCTCATCTTTCATAAACAAAGACTTTTACTCTGATTTTCTTTTATCTTAAGGCTATGTAGTTTTCAATTAAAAACGCAGACTCTGAAGTCAGTCAGCTTGGGTTCATATCTGGACTCCCATCACTTATTAGATCTGTGGAACTCCAGTCAAGCTGTTTAATCTCTGCCAGCCTCAAGTTTCCCCATCTATGAAATATAGTTAATAGTACCAATAAGAGGGTTGTGAAGATTATCTGAGAATGATAAATGTAAGCACCAATAACAGTGCTTAGTACATCTTGAATACTCATTTTTTTCTACTTTCATATCCTCTTTGTTTCACTTTCTTCATGTCCTTTAAAAAAATAAATGATTTCTCATTATGTGCTTACTGTAAATCTACCTAAAATATTTCCTGGAATAAGGCTGAGTAAGAATACATAAACATTAGTTTCTTAGGACATCATATTTTCTTAAAGTACAGCAATTAAAAATATTCATAATGGTTTGCCTTAACTTTCTGGAATTAACAGATTTAAGCCACTTAACTTTCATTTTATCTTTTCTTCACTTCAGACACATGTCACAAATTTTCTATATTATGTTTTGTACAGGTGTGACGGTGGTTTTCTTAATACATATTTTATTGTAATCTCTTAGATTTAAAAGTTTTGCTATCATTTGAAATCTGTCATAAGACCAGAGAAGTGCATTCATTATAGAAATATTTAATAAATAAGCTCTGCAGTTTGAAGAGCTAGACTTTTATGTGAGGTCAGGCAAGTTGAAGACATTTACAAAGAATTAGTTGTTTGTTATTGCTATGTGAGTTGCAAGAATGGAAAAAAAAAAGAAATTCTTTCTTCAATACTTCCTTCCAGGCTGAGTCATCACTAGAGAGTGGGAAGGGCAGCAGCAGCAGAGAATCCAAACCCTAAAGCTGATACCACGAAGTACCATTTCTCCAAGTTTGGGGCTCAGAGGGGAGCCATCATGAGCGATGTTACCATTGTGAAAGAAGGTTGGGTTCAGAAGAGGGGTAAGTGCTCAACAAAATCGAAATGATATGGTTGGTAAGCGTGCTAAACAGTGAGTGGTGTCTTAGAAGTTGATCTTTTTTTCCTGAAATTTTTAAACATGCTGTCTAGTAAGAGAGAAATGATATATAACATATATGTAAGGATTTTGTTTATTAGGGATTTCTTTATAATTCTTGACTTTGATAATTTATGGTTTAGTTATGAAATGAGATTTGACTTTCTGGTACATTATGTGCATGCATATTAGTGCTATATTTTTCTGTGGTGTCCACAGATAGCTTTAGAGTCATTTAATATGTAGGCGAGGTCTTATATGTATTTAATGATATATAAATATATAAATAAAAGTATTCAGTTAAATTTGGATGGTGGCACAGGAAGGGCTTAAAATAATTAAGGGGGGAGGGGTCACCAACAAACTCATGGAATCAACAGTTCCATAAATTAGATATGTAAAGTCTTGAGGTAAAAGGCCAAATGAGAAGTTGTGTTTTTTTGTATTTTTAATTTTATATTTTTATTTTTCATTATCTATTTTTTGTATTTACTGCTCAAAGTAAAATGTTCATTATTATTATTATTAAAGAAAGAACTCTTTAATGTAAAGCTTAGTTTGTTATCTGTGAGATTACCTGCTTATGTAGTCAATGTATTTATTAGAAATCTAGAGTTTAGACTAGTTGCTAGGCAACTACTGTTTACTCACATGGCTAAGTTGAGTAGGATGAAGACGCTGCCATTTTTAGGACTTTTTAGTTCCTGTTTTCTGGTTAAAGGTACTTCTTAAATACTGATTTTCATATTCTTTGAAGATTTATAGCTGATACCTATGCTGAAAAGCTGTTGTCAGTAGTTAAATGTGATTGTATATTATTGAACTTTTAAATCAGCCTTATTGAGTTGTAATTTTCTTACAATAAAATAAAACAATTTTAAGTTACACTTTGGTAAGTTCAGCAAATGTAGTGTAACAGACATTGAAGATACAGAACATATCCATCACCCCAAAAAGTTCCTTCACGTCCCTTTGTAGTCATAGTCCTCATTGATTCCCTCAACCCTAGCAACCACTAATCTGCTTTCTTATGATGATTTTACTTTTCTAGAATTTCATTTAAATGGAATCATGGGATCCATAGTCTTTCGTGTTTTCTTTCACATGACACAATACTTTTTTAAAAAAATTTTTATTTATTTATTTTTTAGTCATACATGACAGTAGAATGCATTTTGATATATAATACATACATGGAATGTACATACTTCAATCATATTGTCTGTTCTATTCTGCTGCCCTTCCTATCCTCCCTACTCCTCCCCTCCTCTCCCATCCTGTCTCTCTATCCAATCTAATATGACACACTTTTTTTTTTCTTTTTCTCATCACCACATCATATATGTATACATGACACAATACTTTTAAGATTCACCCATATTGTGAATATCATTGGTTTGTTCTTTCTTATTGTTGAGTAGTATTCCAAGGTTTGGAAATATCACTCTTTATCTGTAACATGTTTAACAGTTAATGACATTTGGACTTTTTTTGTTTTTGGTTATTATGAATAAAGCTGCTTATGAATACATGAGTGCATGACTTCGTATGTTATTCTTATTTGTCTTGGGCAATAAACTAGAAATGAGATTGCTGAATCATATGGTAAGTGTGTATTTATAAGAAGTATGTGTTTAACTTTATAAAAACTGCCAAACTGTCTTCCAGAGTGGCTGACCATTTGTTATTAAGTTTTTCTATAGGTTATTTTCATAAATTTGGAAAGCATTTTCAGATTTCCAGGTTTTAGTGCCTTATGAAGGTTTTAAAAAATTTTTAAACTTGTGTATTATATTAATTTTCATACCTTGGTTTTTGGGGGATGGCAAATAACATAAACCTTTTAAAATTTTACTTATCTCTAAAATTTATGTTGTGAGGACTAAATGAGATAATGAATATGCTATATATATTTTTTAATATATATATATTTTTAGTTTTTGATGGTCCTTTATTTTATTTGCTTATTTATATGTGGTGCTGAAAATTGAACGCAGTGCCTCATGTGTACAAGGCAAGCACTCTACTGCTGAGCTACAACTCCAGTCCCAGAATATGCTATATTTGACAATCCTAACATAAATGTAGATCTGTTACTATGTCCTTATGTTTTTCAGGGTTTTTAGGGTGGTTCTTTAGTCTAATTAATTTTATCTTGTCTGAAATAGCATGTAGAAGGTTAGTATCTAGTGCTTGGAATATAGAAAAAAAAAGAACTCTTTTAGTGTTTTTTCCTGCATTGGTCAGAGAAGGGGAATTTGTGTGTGTGTGTATGTTTGAGAATAGTTGTATGAATGTGAGAATTTGAATAGTACAGAATGGTATAGATTGAAAAGAGAAGATCCTTTTACCTCTTGAGTTTTTCTTCTCAGAGGTAGTAATTTTAGATTTTAAAATTCTTCTCCTGATCATTATCCTATTTGGTACATTATACATTCAACTTTATTTGTGGCTTACTCTTGTTACCTAATCTTGTGTGTTTTCATTCTGAAAAATGAAGAACTTTCAATACCTATTACACCTGTCCCCGCTCTTTTAAATTTTGGTTGACTTTATGGTTAAATATCAAGCTGTTGGACCACTTTAGAAAATATTCGAATGTTATCTATAAACTTGCACTTTACAAGTTGTGAAAAATTAGGAACCCTTGCCATCTTTCCCTTGAATTCCTCATATTTCCTTCTTAACTTATGTCAACTATGACACATATTTTGTCAAGATTTACTGTATATATTTGTCAACTGTGCAAAGGAGTAAACAATGTTACAATTATGTAAGTAATACATATTGCTAAAAATGTTGTATGATGGGATTCTTAGGGAAAGAAGGAATTTCTTATATTCTATTGGTACTCAAAATTGTGCCAGTCTTAATTTAGTTTGGCTTCTAGTTTGAACCATGACTGTTTTTCCTTGACTTTCTAATTGCCATATTTCCCCCCTTTTTGTAGAAGAGAGCATGACTTCATCCTAATCATTCAGTTAATTAGCTTTTTAATCATACTATTCATTGAAGTTCTAATATGAATTGACTTTTCTGGAGATCATGCTCAGCTGTCACATTATTTAATTTATTTCTCAATTAAGTTCTTGGCTTTTTTGAACCTCATGTGTTTGTTTTTTTTTTGTGTGTGGGGGTGTTTATTTAGTTTTCTAGAGCACCTCCTGAATTAATTTTTCAGGAGGACTGTATGTGAGTGCTTGTTAGCATAATGTTTGAAAACATCCTTTTTGCTTTCATACCCGATATGGAACTTGACTGGGTGTGGAATTCAAGTTTAAATATGTTTTCCTTCAGAATTTTGAAGGATGTATTTCATTGCCTTTTAGTGGCCAGTTTTACTGATAAAGAAGTTTGATGCTCAAATGAATTATTTCTATGTAGGTAACCTGTTTTTGTTTTCTCAAGAATTTTTGTGCCTTTTCATCATTGGAATTGTGAAATTTAAAGTAAGATGTCTTTTATTTATTCATCCTGTAAAAAATTTGGCGGAACCTTTGAACATGAAATTTCTTTGTTCTAGGAAATCTCTTATATCTCTTTTTCTTTTTTAAATACTTTTTTTAGTTGTTGATAGACCTTTGTTTTATTTATGTATTTATACGTGGTGTTGAGAATTGAACCCAATGCCTCACACATGCCAGGCAAGTGCACTACTGCTGAGCCCCAACCCCAGCCTTTTTTTTTTTTTTTTTTTTTAATTTCTTCCTTTGTATAGTTTCTGTATTTATTTACTCTTTTCTGGGCTTTGAATCAAATCAGTCTATTGTTTTGAAATTTTGATTTACCATTTAAACTTTTTTTTTTTTTTTTAAGAAAGAAAAACTTTTGTTCTGGACAATTTTCTTGATTCTTTTATCCCTATTAAATTATTGATTTCAGCTATTTATATATTTGGGAACTGCTTGTACTTAATCGTCACCTGTACTTAATAGCTATCATCTTTAATCTTAGGATACTCATTAGGTTTTTATTTATTTATTTATTCATTTATTCATTCATTCGTTTGTTAGTACATACTGGGGATTGAACCCAGGGGTGCTTAACCACTGAGCCACATCCCCAGTCCTTTTTTCATATTTTATTTAGAGACAGAATTTCACTGAATTGCTTAGAGCTTCACTAAGTTGCTGAGGCTGATTTTGAACTCGTGATTCTCCTGCCTCAGGCTCCTGAGACCCTGGGATTATAGGTGTGGGCCATCAAGCCCAGCTCCAAAATTTTGGAGATTTTTCTCCACTTTGAGTGACTTTCAATTTGTTTGTTGTGTTTTTTTGGAGATGCTAGTTTTCTTCAGGTGTCTGATGATAGCTGTTTGCCTGTATAATTGTGAGAGAAGGAGAGGGTTTACTGGTAGTGTCCTCTATTTTTATAGTTTTCTTCTTTATTTAGGACAAGTTAGATTGACTAAATTATGATTTGTGATGGTAATTTCAATACTCTTGAAAACATTAGGTGGACTGGTAGGGGAAATGAAATTTAACATTTTTTCTCTGTCTACTACTCTTAATTTATTCCTTTAGATATTTTTCAGTATTATTTTGTGTTTTAGTTAAATAAATTTCATGGTATAGCCTCTTGTTGTTTGGTTCTATTTTTGGTTTGAAAAATTTCTTCCTAAAATAGCTTAATAATATTTACTGTCTATGTTCCCTAGGCAGATTATTATCACCTGCATTTTTGTGAACGTTTTTGAAAATAGATATGATATATCTGCCTCAAGGTGTGGTTGTAAGCACTACAAGATAATTTGTTTACAGAAGTGTTTTAAAATTATTTATTTTATTAATAAAGGAGATTGATGTGGAAAAGCTATAAAAAAATTTGTGACTTAGTGTATAGCTCATTGATAGAGCATATGCTTAGTATGCTTGAAGCCTTGGGTTTAATTTCCAGAACCCAAAGGGGGGGGAAAAGTTATAATTGTAGTCCTTTCCTTGAATA